TGGCAACACTATCCATTTGAAATTCAAGCTACGATAAAAACTGTTCAAAAAGAGATGAGGTTGGCATAGTTTCTGAATCCACTCTTTATAAAGCACAGTGACAGCAAAGATTGTAAAAGAAAAAAAGAGGTCATCTGAGGCCACTGTGAGCACATTATTTTGCCAGAGCCAGGCATAGCTCCAGCAGAGGGCAGACTTTGCACTTATGTGGCACCCAACACCATGCATTTGTATTATAGAGTGTTTTTGTCTGATTCACAGCTCAGCTGGTGTCAGTTTTTAATCAGCGGGACGGAACATGTCTTCCAGATAGCTTTTTTTTTTTGCTTTCCTCTCCCTGTTTTTTTTTTTTCTCTCCTCCTCCTCATCAGTTGCTCCTTTCATCTCTCAATCCTCCATTTGGTCTGCATCAGTGCAGGGTAAGATCACGGCACAGGGAGAGAACAGCTCAAGATAAGAGGCTATGACAGACAGGGAGTGCAGTAAAAGACTAGTTATTTTATAGTTTCATGGGTCTGCTTTCTCTTCCGTCTGCATGAGAGGGTTTTTATTAGACCAACAGGGAACTTCGGATCCCTTTGGACAAGTTTTGCTCAGACTTTCAGCTGGCACGGTTGCACTAAGTTCAGGGCTCAATTGGCACAGACTGACAGGGAAGCGGATACATAAACATCTGCGCCAATCCGACACGACTTCGATGTGTACATGAGCCGTTAGACACACACTTAAAGTGAAAAGTTAGATGTGTGTTGCACACTGTTCTGCTTGTTGCATGCAGACAGTCTCCAGTGGACAGAGGATGATAGATGGAAATGAGGGTAGACAGAGGGGTCAGTCTGCAGCACTCACGACATTTTAAAACAGCCTGTCTCCTCAACTACACAGAGACTTTAACTTTAGCAGTACCGATGGAACTGGGGTTTGACCCCAAGCAAACTCACTTATCTCCTTAAAAAAAAAAACCCTGCTCAGTACTGGCTTGTTTACTTCAAATTGTGATTTAATTTACCACAACTGAAAAACTCTGACCAACAAATGATGGTTAAACTTTTCCTTATCAAGTAATTGCAAGTATATTCATTTCATGATCAATTAGTTGATTTTATGGGCAAGAAATGTATTTGAAAGGCAGCCTTGTTCCTGCAGATGTAGTCTACATGAAAATACATGACAACACATAACTACCTATTTGTTTCCATTGTAATTCAGGCTTAATCTTAAATGTATCGCGAATAAACACAATTCCTTTCATTCTTAGTCATAAATGTGATCCTTGAGAAAATACTACAGTTCTGATGAAAAAAGACAGTTTGAAATTGGAATACTGAACATCAGAGCATTAAGCTTGAATAATGGCCTCGTAAAAAAACGGCAAACTCAAAGAACTGGCGATAACAAAAGAATGGCGAACCAATGAGTACTTTGCAAGAAAATTGAAGCGATAGGGATGAAATCAGCAGAGGGGGGTGACTAAATTGCTTTCATAATGAAGCTTCCAAAGGCAGATTTACACTCATCTTCTCGATGACACCTCAATTTGAAAATTTGGGTGTGATGCTTCAACATTCAGATTGTGTCCTGATACAACCCACATGACATCCACAAACGAAACTGAGATCTGACAAAATAATGAAATCCAGGCCGCCTCAAAATGTGAATGTAGATATTAGATCTCAGTGGAACAAATACTGGAGAGAGACACAAAATAAGCAAGGTGCACTGAGGAAAATGTGTACTAATTAGGAGACCCTGAAGGAGCCCTGTAGATCAAAAACATCTGTGTAAAGCTGTTAAAACTCCAAGCCTGAGAATGTGCAACTTTTTTTTTCCAATTTAGTTAATGGATCTAAACGTAGCCAAGATTTGGCCTTCGAGTGTAAACATCTGATAATTAATGCAACCTGGAACGCCTGGAAGTGGCAGGTGGTCGTTTAAAGACAGGTGTAACCGCAACTACACAACACAGGAAAAATAAAATCAGGAGGAGGAAACGTCTCCAAAGAAAGAAAGAGACAAGAGATTGCGTTTGTGTGATAAATAACATAAGCTAATTACACAAACAGTCTCAGCACAAATCTCCCAGATGACAAAACCAGTGACATCACACATCGCCTATTTTACGTAAGCCTCTCTGTAAACCGATAAATTTGACATTTAAAAAAGCACCCTTCAGAATCACGTCTGATCGTTATTGTCCGTCTGAGATTCTTAACAAATTCTGGTCCAAGATATACTACGGCAATCATGATAAAGACATAATATGTCATTTGTATGCAAGCAAATCTAGTCAAAGTGATTTATCTTCTTGAACATGAGCTAGCACTACTGTCATACTTACTGGAGCCCTGTTTTCTTTGAGTGTACTCCATGGTCTTACTGGGTTTTATCAGATTTGAGAGCTGACCTACAATTTGGTTGCCCTTTTGTGCATGAAAACATGAGAATACACAAGTGAAGAGATGCTGCCATTGCTATGTACCACTGCATGTGTGTGAACAACTCGACCTGCAACATGAGGTTGAAAGAATAAGTCAATCTGTGTTTGTTTTGGCAGTGCACTCGTATCATTTTACAGACCTAATCAAAGTATGAGATTAAAAAAAGGGAAAATATGGGAACTTTTTATTGGACTAAGCTCCCAGAACCTGCCAAGGGAATAGAGGCTTTTGTTCAGTTTTTAGGTCTTCTGTCCCGGGATGCTTTGGTGTCTATTTTCAAAAGAACTAAAGACTACACACATTTGAAAACACGGTTTCAAACTGTTAATTGGTTTATGCATGTTGTGCATGCTATGGCATATACCTTAAAGAAAAGCTACACCTGATAGAGTTGATGGAAATCTGCAAGAACAGTTCATGTACTCTGTGAACTGATGTGAATAACTGCTGGAAATGTGTGTTATGACGCAAAATCTAAACCAAACTCTGGCCTAAACTTGTTCCAAGATCCTAGAGAGAGACACAGAGGAATGCTGCTGTCAGCCTCAGCAAGGAGGTCATCTGAGTCCACAAGCATGCGTGTGTGTGTGTTTGAGTGTGTGAGAGAGAACGAGCATGAGGATGTGTGGTGACTAGCTCAATCAATTGAAAACACACACAGAGCTTAACAGCCAATAAAACAATACAAACAACCAAAAAAAAAAAAAAAAAAAAACCACTTCATATAAAGCAGATGCATCCACATATCACAAATGTGTGCACACACAGTTAGCCAATGGCATCTTGAACCTATGAAGAAACTGACTGATTGAGTTCATAATCACACAATAAAATGAAGAGCTAGGCAGCTGAAACCACACAGCTGCAGGCGACGACTGGCTCGCAACTCTCTCTCCACATATTGTATAGAAGTAATAACTGTCGTAGTTTTCAAGAGCAGCGCCGGAGGTCCAGAAATTCCTTAAAAAGTATTGCTATTGTAATTATCACATTACTACTCACTGCATTGGAATAAAGCATTAATTTACTGACTGTATAAATACATACGGGACTCACCTGGTTAAATAAAGGTTAAATTAAATAATAAAAACATCTTGAGCCTCTTATGCAAGTCTCCCTACTGGCATAATAACTACTATTATTATTACGAGCAGACTTCATACAACCGAGCCAACAAAATGGCAAATACAACTCAGAAAGTCTGAATTTAATGCTGTAGACTATTTTGGAGTATTTTCGCTGCAAACCTTGGAAGTAAGCAGCAATGTGGTCTTACAGTGCCTTAAACACAAGAAGCTGTGTTTGTGGGGGCGTTTTGGACAAGGTACTGCTGAGACACTGAAATATGTTCCAATAAGGCTGGTCTGAGTAATAATTTTACAACTCTGGAAATGTATCATGTTGTCATTTTAAGCTCTGTTTGCAACAACCGCTGTGTAAAAGTAAAATTATGCTGTTTGTGTTGCAGAGTTACTTATCAGAAATGTGGCACTGATACGTTTCTGACTGGTAGTGTCCGACTGGCCAGTGCTACGTCTCATCTGCAGGTGACGTTGTCTTGTGTGAGAGGGATGGATCCAAATTTTGCAGCTGACCGCGTGCTTTTCTGCCAGAGCTGGCTGTGTTGGCAACTGCACCGTGCCAACGTGGCAGCCGTATGGCAGCAGATGTAGCATCATCTCTGAAAAGGGGTCGGTGGCCATTCTCCCCAATGTCCCTTAAGGGATCACGTTTAATTCATTGACTTCAAAAATAAATAACTAAGTATAATTTTCCAGTAATGATCCCAGCAGACAATCTGTGTAGCCTCCGTTCAGGAAGAAATTATCCTCTATGGCTGTTACATAAAAACACCTGTTGTAACAAACTAACACAAAACAGTATAACCACCAGACGGGCAGCATGAGAAAGAACTTCCTTCCTTAAAGCCTAGCTTCTAGACAAACATGATGAAATCATGAATGTGAAATTATGGTTGTCTTCAGGCATCCATATGTGGCTTGCAATGTTCATACATAGGCCGGCTCTGCTTTGATCGAGACTCACTTGGAAATCAGAGGAAAGAAAAGAGAAACGGGAAGGGCCCTCAGTCCAAAGACACAAATGGAGGAGTGGAGAGAGACGAACAAAGACACAGACATCAGGAGGACACAAAAAAAACAGCTAGTGTGTGTGTGTGTGTGTGTGTTTAGAAACTGAATAGTAGAGCGTGGTGAAAAACAAAAATGTTTCCATTTGACAACATAAAGGAAGACTAACTCCACCAGACATTACCTGGTCCATTGATTTCATTCGGATCGTATGTTAATGACGTGCCAAGGTGAAACACATTGTCGTGCATCACTAGATGCTGCATCATCTTGCTTCTATTTTGGAAAGTTACAGTTTGCAGCTGTAATACTTACAAGCGGTGCAAATGGTTGGTTCCAGCCAATGTTTGCAACAGATGTGCACTTAAATCACGAAAGTATGAAATGATGCTGATATCCATTTCATCACTGGCAGCATGCATTAATTAGTTTTTTATAACTTCTGTTCAGTTGACAGTAAACGCGTCCTTACCTGTCCATCCTGACCAACATGCACCTGGTGAATCTGGAGGTTTCCCTGAAATGGAGAAATGGCATGTCAAACAAAAGCCTGATGGATATTATATGCATGTTTAGTTAACTACTTTAACTAGTAAACAAAGCCACTGAAAAAAAGTCATACCCGTTCCAACTTTTGTCTTATTTGCCTTGACCTGCATGGCAGGTTCGGATTATCGCAAGGTGTTTTAAGTTAGTAAACGATGCTACGCTGATGTCATATTATTACCATTATTCAACATAAAACTGTCAACTTCTGAAAGGTGTCAAAACCTTTGGTTTCTTCCAACCCCTGCTACTGAGAGAAACATTGGCAGACCACTGTTTACATTGATAAGAAGCGAATGCAATGTCCGTGCATTTACGTCAACAGCTGTATCATTTCTGGCTACATCGAGGCTCCTGTAAACAAAAACAGGAATCCATTTGCACTGGCATAAGCTTATCACAGTCTCGTTAAGCTGCAATGACCACCATAAAATCTCTGAACACCCACACTGATATTAACAAGACCGTTTGAAAGAGGATATTATACAAGCCGTATTTAGCTGACCTCAAGGCTCAGCTGTTTTCTCTCTTGCTAATTGTACTTCATGTATATATGCAATGCTGTCTGTGCTGCCATATGGCCAGAGAGCAGTGTAATCTCTCAAACAGCTCATTTCCTTTTCAAGCACGCTAAAACCAATGTCTTTGATGAAAGGGGCCCGTTCCTAATGAAAACATATTCTGTGAGTGGCAGTTGGGAGAAGTGGGATTTTGTTGCTAAGCTTTGAACTCCAAAAAACAAACAATATCATGGAATAGGAAGGAGAGAGGAGAAAAAAATCTGGGCTCGGCCACAAAGAGCAGGAAAGGCTTTAGAGCTTTTCTGCCTCCAATTTGCTCTGTCTCTCTCACTCAATTGTGCATTTCTTCCTCAGAGTGTCCTTTAGCACTAGGAAATGAGAAAAACACTTGGTTAAGGTGTCGGTTGCGTTTGCACAAATGTCATGCTGACATGCATGTGCGGCATGTATCATGTACAGTATGTGATTACAAGTATATGTGTGTACACAGACTGGCGCCTTGAAATAAATCTCTTTCCCACATCCTTGAAAAATCATTAACGACGATGCTGATGCGGAAATTCCTCTTTAGCAGTCGTGGTTTGGAGTTCGATTTTGATTTCAACTGGCAAGCTGTGTGCACATGCAAAGATGTCTGGTGGAGGAAATGAGACACCTGGGCATTACGTGGAAAAAAAAGTCATAACCTTATGCGTAAGCCAGCAGACGTATAAACAATAAGATGCATAGAAACGTCTTTTTTTGCTAAAATTGACTAATGTCTGGTAACGTTTGAGCGCACTATGCTGGGAAAGCGGTTTACGAGGGCAAACAAAAATATACAGCTCTCAAAAGGCACATAAATATTAATGATTCTACCAAACTAATCTGACAGATGAAGAGCAACAATTTGCTCTATTAAATTCCTTTTCTTTATTTTAGAAGCAAATGAGCTTACAGTCCACAAAATCTGAGCTGTGCAAACACAATTTTCAATGATCACAAAGAAATGGAAATTACTAAATAATTACGACAGTTTGTTTTCCGCGCACCCGTCATCGAATCTGGTAGCTTGGTAAGGTAATATGCTGTTCTCATTGTGCTGTAGCCTAAATAACATCCGAGAAGCTCGTCTGTTAACTTGTGCAGAGCCGTACCGCATTTGAAAGATGTGATGTGAAGCAAAGGTTTACATCTTCAAGCATCCCTTTGTTTCTCTCTGTTGTGGGTTGAACACAAATCAAATGTAATAAATAATCTGACTGATTTAATTGATCAAAATCTGTTTATTTTACCGTGCAGCTGCTAATTTAGGAGTAAAAGGAATAAAGCATAAATGTACATGCTCACACAAAAACCTATGGATCATTTCAAATAGTTACTCAAAAATTGCCGGTCACTATCAAGCCAGAAGTAAATCAAATTACAAACCACAGGCACAACACACTGACATTCCCACACTAACGTAGACAACATTACATTCTTCACAGCAAACCTCTCCTTTGTCAAGAGTAAGTTAACTGCAACGTTTATATTTGGAGTGGGAGACAAATTCTCCCACGTGAGGCATTTGCTGAGAAAATTACTACACCGAGAAGAATGACTCAAGGAAAGGAGTGGTTGATTGTTGCTTTCTCTCCCACATAAACACACTTGCCTCGCTGTCCTGTGTGATCTGCACCTCCTCTCCTTGTGGCACCTGGGCAATGTGCAGCTGTCCCTGTGGTATCTAAGACACACAAAGACAAGGAATGAGAGACAGCTGAAGATGAAACAAGTACATAAATATGATCGAGAAACCCATAAATTTGAAAAGGTGTGTTTGTGCAATCTACATACAATTATAACACATTTAAACATTGTGGTTAGAAAGACTTTTTTGTGCAAAATTCCCTCTTTGGGTTTTCCCCCAGCATTGTTTCCTTGTTACGCTGCTGTAGAAAGACAGTACCTTTGTTCTGACTTTTGAATACATGAACAGCGAAATCTCTTTAGGAAGGAATGACTTAATGACTAGGAATATGGATACCGCAAACAAAAAAATATTTAAATATTCATATGGACGAGTAAGTACCATCAAGACAGACTTTTTGAAGAATTTTTGACTTCATCCATCGACCCTTAGTTTAGGCTACAATGCAAATAGTGTAAATAAAAATACCTGACAAATCTGCCCTAGTTTGGTTAATGTGACTGAAAAATGACAAATTTTATTCAGCAATCATGGAACGATGGCTGCAACGCTATACTTGATTTCCTCTGCTGTATTCGCACTACTCGTAAATTTCAGGCTCAGCTGCAGCCTCTAATACTCAGGTGTGTGTCTGTCGGGAGGGTAATAACTGCACAGTGAACTCCTTGCAAGCGTTCTCTCCCAGCTTCTCCCCAAGTTCTCTTCCCGCCTGTCCGCCCTATATCTTTTATGCCTATTCGCTCCTTTCTCAGGAAAGTCACCTATCATCAGTGCCGCCAAACCCATGCATCATGTAGCAACGCATTAACAGGAGAAAGAGTCAGCGCAGTAAATTATGCGATGGCTTTGTAGCACTGTCATTACATGCGGGGAGTGCACCAATGAGAGTGGAAATTATTTCTCTGTTGTTCCCCAAGTATTATCAAGCACGTGTTATAGCTATAATTACTTCTTTTTTTTTTCTTTAAAGTTGGTAACACTGACTTTGTAATTCAGACACGTGCACATGTAACACTAGGAAAAGTTTCCTCATGAATAGCCCCTCATCACAAAGATCGTCTAATAGCTTCAGCGTGGCTGTCACCGCCTGTTTGAATGCAAAGTTACAATGACTGTAATCACAACAATAAAACTTCAGCTAAAACCTTTAATTCCACAGGTACAGAGCAACTTCAAAATTCGGATATCTTTCTATCAACAGGCCCTTAAATCAGCTCGTCTGGGTGATTTCAGGGCACAGGCAACAACAAGGTCCAGTTATTTCCTCTTTATCAGCCCACTCATAATGCTGCAGTGGGCCTGAATGTGACCTTTTTCACATCTGTACATGACCAGCCCATCGCTGAGCATGAGTCACTCCTTCATTGACATAAGTTGCGGTACATTTCTTCAGAATGCTGTATGTGTCATTGTAGTGGGTGGTGTGATCTGTCCCAGTACACCATAAACCCTGTGAGACTGCAATATGACAGCAGTGAGGAAAAAAAGAAAGCAAACACAAAAGACAAAGAAAAAATATCTGGGAAAAAAAATGAGAAAAGCTAACTGTAAGACACACATCTGATACGTGTTGCAAGAGCGAAGGATGAAGACTTAGTGTGTGTGTCCATCAATAAAAGTGTTCTCTTCTAAATCCTGCGAAAGACTGAGGGATGAAATGTTAGACACTTACCACCTGAACTTGTCCATCTTCGCCAATACGGTGGAACTGTACTTGCTGATTGGCCAGCGTGTAGTGCAAGGTCTGCTGGGTGGCGGTTTCAATGTGGCCCGTTTCTTCTGTGATTCCTTCGTCTGGATGGGAGGACAGACGGTATGGTCATTTGTGAGCTCATGTGTACAGTGGAAGTAGGTCATAAATACAGGGCAACTGATTCCAGCACACATAAGAAATAAGGATGAGGTAACCAAAACACAGACACATACACAAACACAATCATGCAAGGGGCCTTAGCAAACTTGTTTAAAAAAAAAAAAAAAAAAACCTGGCTAATTCCCAGGCCATCTGCTGGATAATGCCGTGTTTATACTTCATCAAACGCCTAAATACACAACAAGGACTCTCCAGATATCCATCCAAACACACAGTCTAGCAGACAAACACAAACTCCAGGGTTCAGTCGCAACACCCGCTATCACAACAGCAGTCTGAAACCCCTGCGTGGACCTTCCATCACCCCACACAGATTCACGCCAAACTAAAGAAGTCAAGTCGCCATATCAGCAGTCGAAACCAGCAGCACCTTCGGTAAAAGTGGAGTCTACACAACAGGCCACAAAGCAAACAAAATCACATCTCCTCTTGTTAGATGTCAAAATGAGTAGCAACAGAAAGGCTATTTAGAGGAAATGAGAAAGAAACGCTGTCTGACTAATGTTTTAGCATGAAGAGAAAAAAACCATAATGTAGGTTTCATTTACAGTACACATAAATTACACACTGTATACACCTTGCAAGATCTGCTAGTGATACCCTGCTTAGCAAAGTAAGGCTGTTTCCCATCTTTAGTTATTATGACTACATACTGTATTATGTAAATAATTCTCAGGACTTTCATTTGCCAGGTGGCTGGTGGAAGCAAGGGTTTTGATTGGAACTTTACGTGCCGGTTCACTAATAAATAATGGGTTGAAAAACACAAAAATTGCCTCTTTCCTGTCCATTAATTTGATTAAGAACAGAATGGCTGTTCAGTGTGTGTCTGTTGCACGTTGGTGGATGCACCATCTGAAATAGCATTTGTGTTGTACACTCTGGGGTGTGTGTGGCCTGAGAAGGCAGAGCCTGACAATCCACCCCTAGTGTGAGCTCACAGGATATTTGGCTTTCCCCTGCAGTCTTATTTTTCCCTGGTCAGAGGTGAGAGGTGATGGCTCACAGGGAGAGAAGGACAGCAGCCATTGTGTGCAGATTACAACCATCTGCAGCAAAACACCCTGTATCCTGAAATAGCTTTCATATAGCTAATGAACAAAGACCTAAGTTGACTGAGTGTGACTGTATTTGTTCAGTATTTGCATACAGTCCTGCTCTTGTAGAAAAAATAATAGGCATTTAAATTTTTTTTTTAAAGTTTGCCAATTGGGGCAAGCAGCCAATCAATACAAAAAAGTTATTCGTAAATTGTGAACTTTGATAGCTCAGTGATCATGCCAAAATTGACCAACTGAGAAATTGCACCAAATCTGTGCAATACCAGTGAAAAGCCTCCAGGTGGACGACCCATTAAACTTGAATAGAAATGACTCAATCATTGGTAGCTATTGAATTTTGGTCATAAGCATAAGAAAATAAAGCTTCACCTCTTATGACAACAAAGTTGAGAGGTCGACGTGACTTAACTGAAGTTTCCTCCAAAGTTTAAACAAGGAAAAGAACCACATATTGATATTGAGTTTCATATTGATTCAGCACTGGCGCAAAGATTAACAATTCAAATTATATTTTTGCTGACGGCACAAGATTAATAAGTTTCATAACTATGAGTCAAATAAGGTCACATTCTGCTACAATAAAAACTTTAAACCAGTGGTGGTGTAGCCAGCATGTACGCAAAAGAATTAGCAGCAGATGTCTTTTTCTGGTGGGGTCTGCGGTTGATTTTCACAGCTATGCACCTTGTTTGATTAGAAAACAACTGCAGAAATGTTGCAACATCTATCGGCTGATTGAGACATCAGTGTGGAGACAAGAAGGCATTCGTTTTACAGAGATGAATGTGCTCACTCCCAGAAAAGGTGTCGGACAATTCCAAAGTTTGATTTCTAAAACGCAAAGATTCACACAGTTAAAAGGTTGATGTGATTTTTAAACACGAAATATGGTTTAAGATGTTGGAGTACACTACAGACACAGACACAGCGTACATGTGCATAATTCTTTGTCATATAAGTTTGCATGTTGTGTTGACTCCTGGCTCACGTTGGCTTGCTCTATGTTAGGTAGTCAGATATGGTTGTGATAATGGAGTAAATACTATGTTTTCATCCTTAGAGATTACTTTTGAAAAAGCTTCGAGCTTATGTTTCATAACTACTCATCATTTTTTTCTTGTGGATTTTCTTACTGACTCCTTTTCTCTGCCTTTCTGACAGCCTATCTCTATTTCTTTCTCTCGCTGTCACATAACTCGTGGGTGGCAATATTATAAATCTTACAGCATATACAGTAGTTGAAAGAAAAGCTGGAAGCATGCATACTCATATAGTGAAATGCAACGCTGACTAATTTCAGCAATCAATCACTTCAAGCATACATATGTTGGGTGTAAATATGCTGCTTCTATTATTAGGGTCCGAGGACCCCTACTTGTTTATTTATGCATTTCTTGACAAATACACAAGCATACATATAAAGAAGATATCATGTGTCACGGTCTTGAGGTGCATAAGTTATAGTGGTGTATATCCCCGTGATAATAATCTTACCTGCAACTGTATTGCGAGGTGTGCGTTTGGAGAAGCTCTTGACAGCCAGACTCTGTCCACGCTGCTTGCGTCTCCAGGCAGTACGACACTTTGAGTCAATGCTCTGCTTGATGCGATACCAGTCTGATTCAGAGATGCCAAATTTGTGGAACAAATGACCTGTAGAGACACAGAGAGGTCAAAGGTTATTACATGTGGTATTCATCATCAAATATTGTTGGCTTGGCCATATCATATCTCTAAATTGACCTTTCCCAAAAGTGTTTTAATCAGTTTTCTGACATGTCCTCTTGGTTCAGGAATGCTCCCTCCTTTCATTTTCCTTGTTTCTGTTTCAGTATTGCAAGAAATTAAACCCAAACCTCACCTAAACTTGTGGGTATCACGAGCAGCAATACAAAACGTAGCAAATAGAATATTTATTAGTCATAACATTAACAGGATGAATATGCAAGGTGGACAATTTCTAGTTGAAATAATAATAATTAATTAAAACATAAAAATTACTATGCAGTAAGTTTGTTGTACAGCTCAACAGTCAACTCTTTACAATGTCAGGATAAACTTACAGCTTACAATGATAATACATTACAAAAAAATGCTTGCAGGATGCAAATCTTGTTTTGAGTTTTAATGCAGAAATTTTCAGTCCAAGACGAGACATAGGCCATACATAATACTATTCTTTTCATGAAAAGTGAAGGAAACAACTGGTCTGATTTTGTTTACTTCTGCTCCACACCTTTGACAAGTTAACACAGGTCTGTGACTGTCCTTCACCAACTCCCACAGTGGAGATATGTGCAGGTGAGACTGGATGCAGCTGCATTTAGTGGCTGCGTTATAAACTGTTTAAAGGGGGAGAGCCACTTGACAGCTCATTTCTACATGGGTTAACAACACAGCTACAACCTGAGGATAGAAAATGAGACAGAGGGGGAGGTGAGGGATATCTGCGGATGGAGGGATGACAGCATACGGCAGCCCTTTCGCACCTGATGGGTCCTGTACAGGCAGGCAAGGCAGGTGCTTCATTCCTTCTTGCTATTTTTTTAGGCAGGCAGAATGAGTCACCCAAAAGTCACCTGGCCCTGCTCCAGCCTCTACATACCTCTGTGTCAGAGCAAATCTGCATGGAGCACACACCCACGCTGCTAAGAGGAAATACAGGTAACCGAGTACACAAACACGTGTTTAGAGTTCAATGGGCCACAGTCAAAGGCAGGGAAAAGCCATGATGTTGTGTGTTTATGTGTGTGTGCTGCAGGAACACTTTAAAAGAAAGAAAAAAAAAAAAGGTATTCATTTTGACACAATCCCTCCATGCACACATTCATTGTATTGCATTTGCTGGTTCAGACAGAAAGGGTAAAAAGGAGACCTAGAGAAACAAGTATAACACCTGAGTCTTTTCTCACCTCTGCATCGTTGGCCAATCCTGGAGTGAAGTGGGAGTGAAAACCGGATCTTTTTCTTTCAGAAACTTACAGCAAATGGTCAACACAGACCGACGCTATAAAGGTGTGGGAGTGGGGAATTTCCAAACGCTATCCAACCATTTGACAAGCAGTTTGGACAGTGCAATGAATCCTGCTTTATGCCCACATATGCCATTAGGGGGTTTTTATTAAACTCTGTAGGATAAGTTATAGCTAAGGATGCACCGTGATACTGGCAACATTACTGCTATCAGAAGAGCTGTAAAGTTAAATATCGGCACTGGCCCAAAATGAATACTGATAGGCAGATGACACCTGTTAGGGTAGAAGGTTTGTTTGAAATAGTCACAATAAAATATATACCTGGCATGTTTTACATAAAGCTCAAGTAGTTTTCTTATTTGTCCAGTCAATGTGTACCTCTGATAAGCATTATGTTATGTGTCTGCACCTGCCAGCATGCCATCACAATATTAGTCGGCATAATAAGATGTTAATTCCACTACAGGAGAAAGTTAATGTTGTCTGCAATTAGGTGGATAAAATGTGTGCATTTATCAGCATCTGGAATCTGCCAAAATGAGTTGGAAAAGATATGCAAAAATCCAACACCATGCATCTCTGGCTATAGCTAACATTTCCTAGTAACACTGCAATATGAGCAATGGAAATATAGTATATGGCCAGGGGACTTTCGTAAATATCCATGTGTCTACCATTGTAACTCTGACTCTGCTTAATCTGCAATCAAAGAATTCACTGAATTGAGAGCGACTCCATTAAGATCTTTCTTGCAGACATGTGCTTGTCATTTAGAGTCTGGTATGTTATAAAATGTGTTGCACATTAATGCGTGTGTGCAATGATGAATGCATGTTGTTGTAACCTGCCTTGGGAATACAGACTGCAGTCTATTTCTGTGTTCTATTCAGCACTGCTTTGTAATGAAATGGGGATGAAATGTGGGAAGGTCTCAGAGAGTTCATTTATTGCTATAAGGGGGCAAGGCTTTAAAACCCGGCAGAGTGAAATTATTAGTATAATTCTTACCAGCGTTTCCGCCAGTGTGTTGCAGGCCCTGCAACCCTCCGGACTTAAGTTGACCCCCTGAGGTTTTTAAAACTACAGTTACAGTGAAGTGGCAGAGTTGGAAGCAGATATAACGGTTGGAAAGCTCACCAGCGACATCCGTTGGTTAAAAAGTGAACACACTATAGAAAAACAGCTGGTCTGAGATCAGTGTTGTTTATCCTCATTGTACAGTGACTTTCAACACTTGGCACATCCAGCTATCAAAAGCTGACGTTACCTAACAACCTTGGCTAGCTAGCCAAGCAGTCAGTCCCTTAGACAGCTCCAGTTTGCGACATTTAGTCATAATGTCAAGGAGGAAATGTAGAAGTCAAAGAGCCTGCTGCTGATGGAGAGAGACTGTGAACATGCGGCCGCAATGGTGCACTGGCCATCGGACTTCACAGGACAAAACCCAGTGGACCATCAACCCCACACCGACTCACAGCACAACTTGGCCGAAACGATGCAGAAACCATGTAATAATCATGAGATAAACAGTGGTTACCAAACTCTGCCTTGGCACTTACTACAGGGTTGTTTTGGTGATTCATTCATCACAAACTGGCAAGTTCAAACTGCTCAAAAACACTGCCAAGGACGCATGTGTCAGTTCCAATGCATATTTATAAGGACACACTTTTTCTGGACCTCTGAGGTTTGTGCAAGTCTGTCAGTGCCAGCAGCAGTGTATAAAAGAAAGCTGTTTTTGCAACTAATTTGTCTGAGAATAGTGTTTACCACTAGGTCAACCTCCACTTTGTCACAAATGAAGTGAAGCAAAAACGTGTCAGTAGCAGGAGGTAATGGTTTTAGGACTCACAGCGAATGCCATAGATCATGAGAGGGTCCAGCTGCTTCTTTCCATGTTTGCCCTGCCCAGACAGATTTGACATGGCTTGGACCTCCCGATGGAACAGATAGTCCAGCAGCGTCAATGCCATTTTCTCTGCTGTGCGGCAATTTGTGCTGATATGAAGCATGTCAGCTGGAGACACCGCACAACGAACTCGCATCTCTGGGTTGTCCTCATCTCCCAACCAGGTGCCGGCTGGATAATCATCTGAAGAACAGAGGAGGAACAGTTCTTCAAACACAGCTACACACAGCACTCTTTCATCAAATCTGTAGCCTGTTAATAATGACAAGATACGGGGCAGTATGCCAATTCTCTCAGCCTTCTTCACTGAAAAAAAGCAAAATATGTCCATTCTATAAAAAGGTGTGGAGTCACAGGCTGACAAATACTACACTGGTGCAGAGACATTGAGACAACTCATGAAATACAACAGCACCCCCATGTGGCAGTAACAAAGAAGTGAGTAACTTGTGGGGAAAACTGTTATTAAATGTATTGAAAAGGAGAGTATGTGGTTTGGCTGTTTGTTCACAGCGTATGTTAGACACATGGACCATCAAGCTAAAGCTGACTCACACAATTTTATCATGGTAACCCGGAGTTGCCAATAAATGAATAGCTGTTTGTCTTTGAAGATAACCAAGAACTTCCCATCCACTTTAAAAAAATAAAATAAAATACCCAACTAACAACCACAGCAAATGCAATAACAATGTGGACTCCATTTAGGTTTGCACAGTTAAAATGAACTATTTTCTTTTGAGTTCAGCCAGAACCACTAAGTAAAGCTACTGAAAACATGAAAGAGCAATTGAAGCAAATATACATACAGGCTGAGGTGAAAAAAAAAAAAGACAGGAACATAAAAAAATGACACATTGACCCAGTTTACTTTGTAGTTAATGCAGAGATCAGCTAAAAGAGTCCCATTAGCCAGATTAACTAAGTGCATTCCTAGCAAAACATAGCTATTCTGGTACTGGTGAGATGGTTGATGTGGCTCTGATAGCCACCAAAGAATTGGAAGTCATTTGAGTAGCGCAAAGACCGTTTTGTTTTAGTTAAATGTTGTGTTTTGGTTTTTTTCTTACGGGAGAAATTCTGCCCCAAAATCTGAAATCATTCTCTTAATAGGAGAAAATCACTTCTGAAACCTGCAGCTTTTCTTACAGCTACCTAATCAGTGATGGTTCTACTAAAGATTGACCACAGAGGCTGTCACTTGGCTTTCAAATGAAATCAAAAACTACTGACAAGTGTAATCGAGTATACACATGTAAAAGCAGTCAGTCAGTATGACATGCGTGTGAGTGTGTCTGTTGGTGCATCAAGAGTGTGAAGTCATACCTTCTGAATTGAGTGTGATGAGCGTAACATTTTGGCCGTTTTGTGCACTGCTTGACTGACCGCCGTTGGAAACAGAGTCACTGGCCTCTGAGCCACTCTCCTGTTCCTCCTGACTCTCTTCAGGGCCCGGCACCTTTACTAGGATTGTGTTCTGTCGTCTCCTGGTCACCGTGCTGCAAAGAAGCACAATATACTCAATCCATCACCTGAACTGAAAACTGGGGTAAGGCACTGAATGATGTGTATTTTAATTACATTGCTTTCCAACATTTGTTTACGAGGCAGATTGTTAGGACAGATCTGCGACATACAGTATGCTGTCAGTGTGAGCCACTCACTTGCTGAGCAGGTTCTCCAGCGGAGTGTCTTCCTGGCTTGAGCCTTTTGGGTGTTCACTGCTCACTATCACATTTGTCTGGGGGACAACACTGAGAGAGAAAGTTAAAACACACTGTCAATAGCAGATTAAAAATATTCCTATTTATGCATGCTTTGTACAATACATGTAAAAATAGGTGATAAGTTTCTGCTAGGCCCTTAAGTATATTTACAAGAGACCTTTTTAAAATGGCTGAAAGGACAATTAATCTGCATATTAACAGACTACACTGGCCTTTTAATCTATTTGACTGACTGGTAGAAAATGTGCCAGTGGGCAAATATTTAGAGCTTACCATCGCACTTTGTTCCAAGTTTGAGTGGCCCCTTGAGGTGATCCAGCAACCATAGGAACCTGGATAGGACTCTTGGCACAGGGTACCATGCTGTCTAGTTTGCGTCCAAGGGCTTTGCATGTCGCGTCCAGAGACTGTAGCTTCGATTCAATTCCTTCCAGTCGCTGGCTGATTGATCCCGTGAATGAAACCAACAGGTTCTGGGATCATGAATAATAAAACAAGGTAATTTAAATCCTTTTTAAATCCTATCTACTAAAGATATAAACAATACATGAGCTTTTAACTTCACTTATGATACAAACCTTAATAAAAGCTATATCTTGATTACTGTTGTTATTCTCCTGGGTGTTGCTTAATTTCTTCCTTTTCTTCTGAGGCCTGTCTTCATCGTCTTCGTGATTGTCCAGCATGTCTGGCATGAATCAAATACAGAGACACCCTCAAAACAACACATGACAGCCTTCTTGTTAGAATTCACAACAGGACTGAAGGTCTACTGAGTTTCTGCTAAGTCACAATTCCACAAACAGTGATCAACATTTCAGGTACGTGAAAATAAGCAAAAATGTTACTGCTTAAATGTCTGTGTTTGACAGAGCTGCACTCGCCTGATAGAAAACATAACCTCATCTGATCAAAAATGGACGAAAATGTCGATATTTGGAAATTTACCGCACAGTGAATAAAACATACAGGAAAAACTAGACATATTTTGTCAGATTTCTTGATATGAATCTTACCTGTACGGTCTTCCTGGTTAAAATCCTCCACTGTTATTTGCACAATATCATCCAGCTCTTGTTCAGTCATCCTTCACAGCTGAAACAAGATAGCAGGATATTTACTGACATGTTCCTATAAGGCAGAACGTGTTTGTTGCTGCGTCTGGAGATAATAATTTAACTTGTTAGAAAAACAGTTGAAGGCATCTCAAGCTCCATTCTGCAATTCCCTTGTTTTTTTTAAGATTTGCAGATGTTTAAAACAGTGCTTCGTCACGGGAATAAGCTACTTCAAATCAAAACTAACAACATTTTGTGTCAGTGTATTTTCTGCACTTCAGCACATTTTTAAGCTGTTCCTTGCAATTGCATCTGACTGAATAGATAACTTCTATTTTAATCAGTCTAGCTGTCTGTGGGATTTCACTCACATTTTTCACACATAACCACAACCCTCGGCACCTTTTTCTGCTTCAAGTCTATTTTCTTCTGTTTTACACAGTGACTGTGCGTTGGACTCTGAGCCCAGCCAACATGTAGGTGACCACAAAGCAGTACTGTGGTTGAAGACAATGATAGAGGACTGAAGCTGCAGCTGCTGGCACACTGCGTTCACTGTACAGCCTGTGTAGTAGAGTGTGAGAAACAGTTTAATTACAGGCGCGGTGAAGCTGTCGACCGACATGCAAAGCCATCCTCGAGCCTACTAAGATTGTAGTGGTGCAAGCAAGCTTTCAAAGTGTAGAATGCAATCAGGTAATAGGACCACTTTAATAACACTCACATTTCTCTGAATGGGTGAGTTTGTGTTGGCGACTAAGACGCTATCATGCATTGCAGTGCAGAAAAGCAACAATCCTCAGCAGCTGAGAAGGTCATTTCTGTTGTGTGCACTCAAAGGTTTACTGATATAAGGAAGTTGAATTGTTTGGTGTGTAGTTCCAGTGTGGGGATCGACCTCCGGTTCCTTGTCCCGTGTGTATCTTTGAAGGAATTAATATTTCATGAAGAGTATATAAATTCCATATTTTTACTGTAGTGAAGACGGTATTTCAGTTCAACTGGTTTACTCCCTTTCTGTGTCCTTTCTAGACCTCACACACAGAGACTCACACCCCATAATATTAAAATCTTTACTACTCTGGACAGTATAACTACACATGCAATACATCTGACTGTAACGCTTACACCTACTTGTTTTGTAGCACTTGCTGTCTACTGACTTACAATACTTACAAATGTTTTTTCTCCTTTTTTGAATTGTTATAGCGCTACTTATGATGCACTAAGTCAAATCCCTTGTATGTGAAACCTACTTGGCAATAAAACTGATTCTGATTTTGTGCCTGACATGGTTCCTCAAAGAAACACACGATTCACATGCTGGCCAACAACCTACAGAGACAACCCTAATAAAAAGGAAAAAATAGAGAGCTCCACACTGGGACAACAACAATAATATTGATAGATTAAAAGCAAAGAAAATACAAACGGTGTTCCTCAGGGTCAGCAGTCTGTAAGGATGAAAAATAATGACAGCCTCAATTCTTATCAATGGAAGTAAACAGTCCAAGGAGTAACCAAAACACTCTGATTTTTAATATGTAAACACTCTATTAATACAAGGAAAAAACACATTTATACATGCATTAACAAATGTTTATTCATGATTCTTATTTTAATCACTGTGCTTTGGACTGCAAACCAACATTAAGACTTAAATGAACAAAATGTGGGCCAGTCATTATTTTTTCATCTTTACCCCACAGAGACTGATGCACTATTCCAACCAGCTACCAATAGACATCTATTTTACACAGGGTCTTTGATAAAGCATTGAATTGTCACCACTATCACATTTTGTTTACATATCTTCTTTTTTTAAAGGGGGGCATTCAGGTGACTTACTATCCATCAAAATAATACCGTGTACCTTTCAAACTTTGGTTTATAAACAAAGCCCAATATGCACAAAAGATGTCAATAAAAAGTGACACCATCAAACCACTAACAGTTCCTTTGCCAATCAGCTTTTTCGTTCCTAGCAAAACTTGGCAGCAGTACACTTCTGTCTTCCCTGAGAAAGTACATTTTAATATGTATTAGTGCACACATCTCTTCCAACATGCTGGACAACTTTTTGTTTTGCTCTGACCATCAGAGTTAACCCTATATAGATTTTGCAAGGTTTGAGTACTGCCAGATATTGACAGGCCTTTGTGCCGTGCATGTTTCAGCTGCTTTTCATCGATTGCATTTTTGTTTGCCTGCATTTATTTACCTTTGTAATACCACTATAGTGCTGCTTGTGCTGTCATGCTTTTGGTTTGTACCCAACTGACTGCATACAGCACACCTGCTACAATAAAACTGATTTTGTGTTCTCTGGTGATATTACATTTGTCTGCTTTGCACTGTGTTAAGTCCCTGTTAGTAAGATGGGGTTGTAATGTGATTGCCAGTGCTTTCCTTCACAGTTTATGGAATAGATGTGTGGGTGCAGTTAAACTCCATTAATCATAGATTATGGGGGATAGAGGAATGCAATCATTACATTTTCATGGTTTATGTAGTCCTAAGAAAGAGACACGACCTAGACACCAGTAGTGTGACAGTAATAGTGGAGTGTATGAGAAAGTCTGTGGATGAGAAAACATCAAGAGACATTGGGTCAGGCTTCTCCTGAGTCAGCTGTTCTTGATTTACTTTCATGGGTAAATCCGTATTGACAAAAGAGAGCAATTTCGTGCTGATAATTCAAAGTGTGTTGGAATCACTCATGACAACTGCAGCTCGCTGTCTTGTCACTGGCGGGTGAATTTAGCTACCGTTAGCTCTGTCAGTAGCTAGCTGGAGTAGCTAGCTGGAAGGAAACAGGGTATTACACAGCTGTTTCAACAAAGTCACTTTCCTTTATCACTACGTCCTTGTAAACATTACAATAAAAGCATCCCATAGTGTTGATAGCCTTTGTAGGCAGGCTGACGACATTAGATTGGAACTCTGTAGCTAATGCTACGGCTAGCTAACTGGGCGGGGATCTGTTCACGATGATAAATATGGAAGAATAAACGTCTGAAACGGTCCAACTTAACGCGTTTGCTGGCTGTGTATTATGTACTATTCGTCAATGTGACCCAACTGGCGTTCTTCGGCACTGCTTTCCATTTTGCATTCGCTAAGTAGCCTTGGCAGCTAGCAGCTAGCATTAGCTGGCGCTACAATTTCGCATTTGCGTGCTAACGTTAAAGCTGAAGCCCCGCAAAGGAGACGCTATTTAAGCTAGCGTGGCGGTTAGCATGCTAGTAGGGCCCAAAGGCCGCCGTAACGTATTGCAAGAATTGTTGAATGTTGGAAGAAATAGCTATTAAATGTGATTTCGGCTCAGCTTCTTTACCCAACGCTCGCACACAACACATGTACTGTGTAAGATTGGGTTATATTACCGTGTGAATGATGAATTCTCGTGTTGTTTGTAGAGATTCCGATAACGGCGTCGTTCCTCGCGAGAGATGAGCCCTCGCCTTCGTGTGTTCCTTACATGGAGGGCTCCTCGCTGGTTCAGGGGAGTCCAGGCTCAGTCATACAGCCGTCTGCAGCTGCTAGTCACCACTGTCGAAGCCACACAAAAATTAAATTATAAAGTTAACCAACTACTGTACACCCCCTTTCATTTTAACAGGAAATAATAAACTGACCACTGTTCTAATTCTTTCATATGACTTAAAATTCATTGACTCATTACAATATATTAACGTTATATAACTGAACGTATTTCTATCACTGGCGTGCAATCTATTTTTAAATGCTTATTTGATTATTTATGATTAGATTCAAGAGTTTAAATTTTATTTGTCACATGTTTATACAGTATGTGCTGTGAAATGCAAAGTGACTGGTGTCCAGGTTGTGCAGCAACACTAAGACATTATAAAGGGATAAGTGTTTAGAAAAACAGAAAATTGAGAAAAAAAATCACAAATAATGAGGTAGATGCCTTAAGCTATAAAGTGCAGTGTAAACTCTGGTTTTATGTGTTCAGGTGCACTCCCTAAACAGGTGTAAACTGCAGCAGTTATCATTGGTTTTCAATAAATTTGACTAAGGCCCAAAAGGTTTTCTGCTTTGCATGTCCTGATATTTTGCGGGTGTGTCAGAGGAAGGTCGTTTTTCATGCTTACAACTGAAAACAAGAAGTGAAAAATTCAAAACAGACGAGCCAGCCAGGAGTCGAACCTAGAATCTTCTGATCCGTAGTCAGACGCGTTATCCATTGCGCCACTGGCCCGCGCTGAAACACCGCTGGTCCGATGGATCAATTTAAAGGATCGTTCCGCAGCGAATTATTATTTAGTCTGGTTACGTCAATTGTCGGTAAATCGATAACATTCTAAAACAGTTCACAAGTTTAACATCCACACTGCTGACAGCAACTGATATTTTCTCCCTCTGAAAACTACAGACTGCATATGAAACATAAAAATATTTACTATAAAGGCCATTCTTGGAAACAAAAACTATTACGCCTAGTGAAAGTTAAGCAAAGAAAGCCATTAGCCAACCAAAGTGAATATGTGCTTACCAGTTCCGTAAGTAGTCCAACAAAGTTGATAAGGCAGCAAAAGAAAAACAAACAAGCACCAAACATGCGTTTTTTAAGGGTCTGAATAAGAAATTCGGAGTGGTTTGCAATTAGCTGACCTGGCAACCCAGCAAAGACAGCCGATGCCTGGTCCTGTCACCTGTCGGTCGAGCAAATCCATCGTGTTACAGCCAATCACATTGCCAATCAATGCCAGGATTTGACCAGTCAGGTGCCGGCCTGATACCAAGAAGTGTGAAAACCAATCATCTTTCATTTTGGCCAACCAAGATTTGACCAATCAAAGTGAGGCAAATTACCACGATTGCTATAATAGATAATACGTTTGGTTGGGAACCTGAAAGGCGCGGGTTCGAGTCCTGGCAGTGGCATCTTTGTTTACTGTTATTAAGTTCTTCTTCCAGATTTCCACAAACTGTGTGGCTGTCAGAGAAGATCATCTGACAGCCACACCGTTTGTGGAAATCTGGAAGAAGAACTTACAGACAAATTAACAATGAAATGAAAATGACCTGCATTTGTATGAGCAGCCTACATTTACGCCCCTGGTTGTGGATTTCTGCCTATTATTCTATTTAATTTTATTTTTTTTTTTTTTTGCTATCACATAAAGTGTTTCACTGCAGACATTTTTCCACTACAGAGTCTCACATCCACTGTGTACAGATGTCTACCACAACGCTTAACATTATAGGTAACTGGTTTTCACAAGTAACTTAGAAAATAGAGCCAAGAGAGAACACCAAGCTGCAACGAAAACAAATTATTGTTTTAATTGTAGAAATATAGAATAACATATACTAAAATGCAATGAAAGTAATTATGATGTGAAAAAAGAAAAAAAAATCCCTGTGACATAATCAGAGAGAGCTTTGGTACATTTTTGGGTGTTTTGTGCATTACTCAGCCTCTTTGGAAAGTCCCACATGAGGACACAAGACAGGAAGAACAGGAGGTCTTGCTGTAAACATAACATGCAGTTCCGGGCATTAGAAGAAAGTCAGAGGGTAATCATACATCGGTAAACTTATTACGCATATTGGACAGTGGGAAAAATTCATTGTGTGTAGGTTGATGAGTTTTTTTGTGTTCTCTGCATGGAATACGATTGAACCGACAAATGGTTTGAAGCTCACTGACTCTGCTCATTTTCTTCTTCTCACTTGGGTTAGAATAATGGTATTGTGGTAGTCAAAAAATACTCTTCAACATCTGCTCTCACAGTCACGTTACAATGGAACATGGGTTAAGTGTTGAAATAAAAGTAGCATTGCCTTTCATCACCAGTGTCTCACATTTTTTTTATTAATCTTTCTCTAAAATAATCTGAAAATTGTGAAATAATCAGGTTAAAAGACTTCTGGGTTGGGTTAAGTTCCTCAATGTTTCAAGAAGTCAACAACTCCTCTGCTCTTAAGACTGAAGGCTTACATTTTGTTCTGCTTTTTCGCAAATTAATGACTCGTGTCCCAAGCAAAAAGAAAAGAAATCTACTGAGTCATCATTTCCTCAGATGCTATATGCTGCCGAGATGCTGCCTCAGAGTGCCTCTTGTAGCCAACAGCAGAACATTTTGTGTGCTTTGCATAAGCAGCGCTAGAAAGCAAATGGACCTGGCATATTGGAGGCAGCTACTCATTCTGAGTGGTTTGTCTTAAAAGCAGTGGGCAGTGAGAAGTTTGAGATTTGCAGGTACTTTAAAAAATTCTCAGCCTCGCCAGAAAACGTCTCAGGAGTACTTTTGTTCTTGCATTATTATTCAGCGTAGTCGCCTTAAACTTTAATGCACTTGTCCACTGATGTCCAAGCTTCACTGTCCCTTTGTGGAGGAAGGTCACATCTTGAGAGTCCAGATGCTCCTTACCAGCATGCATGACCTCATCATCATTATTCTAAAAATGGCGACTCGGTTTGGGAAACAGATAGAAGTCAGGAGGTGCAGGTCGGGTGAGTAAGGTTCATAAAGCCACGTTTGGCTGCTTCTGCCACCTGTGCTGTGTGGACGGACGCATTGTCCTGAGGCAACAGCACTAAAGCTCCAAGGTTGGCTCCCCTGTTTTCTTTGAGTTTTTGTGGACAGTGGTATAAAGCTTTATAGGCTACAGTTATGCCCCAAAATGGGAATTATGCCGCTTGTTTCTGGGTGAGGCTGAGAACTTTTTGAAGTACCTTTTGAGACAACACGTAGTTTATGTTTGAAGTAGCACTTTGGTCACAGTTTCACTGGTTTGTAAAAGCTGAGAGGCGGTCTAGTTGTTGTTGGTTTTGAAGAATGTTAGAAGTATCTAGAGAGTGAGTCAATAAGCATCCCAGAAAATTATGGGACTCCCCCAGCCCACACTCGATGACATCATCGAAACGTGCTGCCTGCCACAGATCTAGCAACATCCTGAAAGATAAAACCCTTCGCTTTCACCGGCTCCTCTCTCTATTTCCATCTGTAAGGCGCCACAGAGCCATTAAAGCCGGCACTTCCAGGCTGTAAAGCTAGGGTGACCATATTTTGATTACCGAAAACCAGGACATGAGATGCTCAAATTAGACTCGAAGTTTACCCAAAGATGCCTTATAATTTCAATACATTTAAGGTGTGCTTCCTCCAGGACAGGACCAGGACATTTTCATCACTTTAAGGAAAAACAGGACTGCGTGGTCACCCTGGAAAAACAGCTTCTTTCAAAGGAATATTTATATAGTGGTCATTCTGGAGCAATAACTGTGGACATTATGTGCAACAGTGCCTACTGTGCTCCTATTGTGCTATTACTATTTATTGAATGTGGCTATAGGCTTGTGGAGTGTGTGTGTGTGTGTGTGTATAGTGTTTTGTTTTTCAGTGTTGCACAGCAAATTTCGTTGAACTGTTTGGCGCAATGACAATAATGCCCCAACTGCACTTTATCCATATATGTGCAATATTTTAACCACCAATATTACAATCTACCTCGCTGCTACACAAATATTTAGTGCTAAACAACTCATTGTGGCTTCCTACTCTTAATGTTTCTATTTTTTTACTACATTTATTGCTGTATTTTTACTTTCACTTATATTTTGCTCTTGTTTTACTGTGCTTATTATTTATGATGTTTTTTCCTAAAAAGAAAAAAACACGGGACCTGATTACAAATTTTCTATCACTAACGTGAATGTGAGCTGCATGACAAAGAAAAGTTCCTTGAATCCTTGAACCCTTGAATAAAGCTTCCTGGTTCTGACTAACAGTTGTTAAAGTTCGTAGCAACCACAGCACACAATGAAAATGTTGTTCACCAAATGAGAGCCACTTCCAGGAAACTGTTTTTGCGAAAGACAGCATTCTTGCACAACAACAACAACAACAGAGAACATGAGCTGCTGTAAACTCCAGAAAGTTCACAGAGCTGAAGAAGAAAAATCAGCGACGCTGTTTACGTGCACCACGTGACGTCAGGAGGAGCGCTTCTGCTCATGCTCGCGCGGACAGGAGGAGGTGAGCCAGACTGCAGCTGATAGATGTTGTAGTGATGTAATGTTGCCTGTTTGGTGACTACGGATGGCTGTTTGTGCCAGGCTCTGCGGAGTGGGTCAGTCTCGGAGGTGCCGAAGGCGACAGCGGAACAACCAGCAGGACCAAGGCAGCGATTCGGACATGGACGAGGAGGAAGAGGAGCAGATCGTGGGCCAGCGGCTCGGCGACGCAGGTGGCAGCAGCAGCAGCGGAGGCCCGGAGCGCGGCGCCGCCACTGCAGGGCCGAGTGACGCTGGTGGGGAATATGGCAGCAGTGGCGGTCATGTCAACAGAGGAGGCTTTCTGGATCGCAGGAGCACCGGACCTCCACACCCCCAGTCGTTAGCGGAATTACCGCCGGAGCTCTTGGTGGAAATATTCTCTCTGCTCCCCGGGACTGTGCTGCCAAACGTTGCCCTCGTCTGCAAGAAATTCAGACAGATTCTCAACACGGAAACCATCTGGAGAAGGCGGTGCATGGAA